CCAGCAGCTTTGAAATTTTCTTTTTATTTTTTAATAAAATTTCTTTTAAAATTTCTTAAACTTTTGAAAATTTTCATTTAATTTTTAAAAACATTTTAATTTTCATAGATTATTTTTAATGTTTTCAAATACTATTTGAAATACTTTAATATTTTATAATAATTTTATAATATTTTAATAATTTATAAGGTTCATATTTTAAATATTTCTTCCTTTGAAAAAATTACTTTTTTTTCCCCAGATCTTAAAATATATTTCCTGTTTACTTGAAATATTGCAATTTTATTTCAATTTCAATTCTTTAATCAGAATATTCCAATAAAAAGCACACTGGCATGTTGGGGGAAAAAAATTCTTTTTTTTTTTAAGAAAAAAATTAATCAAAATTTGATTAAAATTTTATTTAAAATCCTTTAAAAATGAATTAAAAACCTTCAAAATTAATTGTTTAAGGTGAATTTAACCCCCTCACCGCCGGCGAGCGCGTAGTCCCTGAAGAGCGGCATGCGGAACCAGCAGGGCAGCGTCAGCAGCCGCGGCCGCAGCCCCGGGAAGAGGCGCTCGAAGCCCGAGGCCGCCGTGCAGAAATTGCCGAAGGCGCCGGCGGCCAGCACGCCGTGAGGGTGGAACCCGAACACGTAATTCCGCCCGGGGTCCAGCGGCACCGTGCGGATCAGCTGCGAAAAGGAAAAAAATCGGAATTATTTTCTGAATTTTTCTGAATTTTTCCCGATTTTTTGGTGATTTTTTACGAATTTTTTTGCATTTTTTTGAATTTTTTTTAAATTTATTTTTGAATTTTTGGCAGTTTACTTCTAATCTTGAGATTCCATTTTTAATTTCAGGGGTTTTTTTTATTTCAGGATTTTTTGGAGAATTTTTAGCGATTTTTTGGCGATTTTTGGGGGTTTTTCGAGGATTTTTTGGGATTTCTCCTTTTATTTTTGAGGGAATTTTGGGAGGATTTTTCGAGGAAAATTTGGGGTTATATTCTTAATTCTGGGATTTTATTTTTATTTTTGTGGGTGTTTTGTTTTTTTTATTTAAGAGGTTTTTTGGAGGAATTTTGGGGATTTTTTGGGGTTTTTTGGGGTTTTTGGGGCATTTTGTGCAGCAGAAATTGCCGAAGGCGCCGGCGGCCAGCACGCCGTGAGGGTGGAACCCGAACAGGGAATTCCGCCCGGGGTCCAGCGGCACCGTGCGGATCAGCTGCGAAATAAAAAAAAATTCAGAATTATTTGGGAATTTTTCCCAATTTTTTGGGGATTTTTTGTGATTTTTTGGCGATTTTTTACGATTTTTTTTCAATTTTTTTCGATTTATTTTGAATTTTTTGGAATTTATTTTAAATTTTTGGCATTTTATTTCTAATCTTGAGATTCTATTTTTAATTTCAGGGTTTTATTTTTAATTTCAGGATTTTTTGGCGATTTTTTGTGGTTTTTTGGGGTTTTTTGTGGTTTTTTTGGGCATTTTGTGCAGCAGAAATTGCCGAAGGCGCCGGCGGCCAGCGCCCCGTGAGGGTGCAACCCGAACAGGGAATTCCGCCCGGGCTCCAGCGGCACCGTGCGGATCAGCTGCGAAAGGAAAAATATTTCATTAATTTGGGGATTTTTCTGAATTTTTTCCGATATTTTTGGGATTTTTTGGCGATTTTTTACGATTTTTTTCAATTTTTTTCGATTTATTTTGAATTTTTTGGGATTTATTTTAAATTTTTGGGGATTTATTTTTAATTTTCAGGGTTTTATTTTTAATATCAGGCTTTTCTTTAAAATTTCAGGATTTTTCAGGGATTTTTTAAGCGATTTTTTGGTGATTTTTGGGGTTTTTTTGAGGATTTTTTTTGATTCATCCTTTCATTTTTAGGAGAATTTCGGGAGGATTTTTGGAGGAAAATTTGGGGTTATATTCTTAATTTTGCGGTATTATTTTTAATTTTGCGTTTTGTTTTTTTTTTAATTTAAGAGGTTTTTTGGAGGAATTTTGGGGATTTATTTTGGGTTTTTTGGGGATTTTGTGGCAATTTTATGGGGTTTTTTGGTGATTTTTTATGATTTTTTTTGCATTTTTGGAATTTTTTTATTTATTTTTTAATTTTGGGGATTTATTTTTAGTTTCAGACTTTTCTTTAAAATTTCAGGATTCTTCAGGGATTTTTTTAGCGATTTTTTGGCGATTTTTGAGGGTTTTTTGAGGATTTTTTTGGGATTTGTCCTTTTATTTTTGGGGGAATTTTGGGAGGATTTTTGAGGGTAAAATTTGGGGTTATATTTTTAATTTCAGGTTTTATTTTTACTTTTGGGTTTTGGGTTTTTATAATTTAGGGGTTTTCTGAGGAATTTTGGGGATTTATTTTGAGGTTTTGGGGATTTTGGGGGATTTTGTGCAGCAGAAATTGCCGAAGGCGCCAGCGGCCAGCGCCCTGTGCGGGTGGAACCTGAACAGGGAATTCCTGCGAAAATTCCATTTATTTGGGTTTTTTTTTTAAATTTTTGGGATTTTTGGGGGATTTTTCCGGTTTTTAAAAATAATTTTGGGGGATTTTCTGAGGGATTTTTTGAGGATTTTTTGGAGGGGTTTAGGGATTTTTTTGTTTTCTGTTTTTTTTTCATTTTGGGGAGGTTTTGGAATTGAGGGTTTGGGTTTTTTTGAGGTTTTGGGGTTTTTTGGGGGGAATTTTGGGGTTGGAAATTTACGGCGCAAGGGCGCCCCCTCGCGGCGGGGCGTGTGGGGGTCCGCCGGAGACCCCCAAACCCCCCCAAAACCCCATCAAGGAACCCCAAGACCCCCCAAAACTCCACTCAGGCACCCTAAACTCCACGCTGGGACCCCTAAAACCTCCAGAATCCCCCCCAAAAATTCAAGTTTTTCCCATTTTACCCCGAGGATCATCGAGATGGGGAAGTAGTCCCGGAAGTGGTTCCAGACGGGTCAAGCGCGCACCCAGGCGCAAGGGCGCCCCCTGGCGGCGGGGCATGCGGCGGTCCTCCAGAACCCCCCAATCCCCCCTAAATCCCCCCAGATCCCCTCCAAACCTCCCCAAAACCCCCCAAAATCCCGCTGAGGCACCACAAACCCCCCTAAACCCCACCCAGTGACCCCAAACACCCCAGAACCACACCCCAAACCCCTCAGAAATCCCCCCCAAAATCCGATTTCCCGCCATTTCCCGCGAGGATCACCGAGATGGGGAAGTAGTCCCGGAAGTGGTTCCAGACGGGTCAGGCGCGCACCCAGGCGCAAGGGCGCCCCCCGCGGCGCGGCGTGTGGCGGTCCGCCAGCATCCACAGCCCGTAGAGCAGCGCCGGCAGCCAGAGCGGCCCGCGGAGCGCCAGCACGAACAGCAGCGTGCACAGCTGGCCTGCGGATCGATAGATCACCGATAGATCACCGATAGGTGTCGATAGTTGGGTATCGGTTACCGTTATTGGGGTGGGAATGGGAATATATGGATATAAGTGTGTGTATGTGTGTGTATCAGCACGAACAGCAGCGTGCACAGCTGGCCTGCAGATCGATAGATCACCGATAGATCACCGATAGATCACCGATAGGTGTCGGTAGTTGGGTAGCGGGTACCGTTATTGGGGTAGGAATGTCAATATATGGATATAAGTGTGTGTATGTGTGTGTATCAGCACAAACAGCAGCGTGCACAGCTGGCCTAGGGATCGATAGATCATCGATAGATCATCAATAGTTGTCGGTAGTTGGGTATTGGTCATCGTTATTGGGGCAGAAGTACGTATATGTACATATTTATTGTATATATGTATATAAAAATGTGTGTATATCTAAATATCAGCAGGAACAGCGCCGTGCACAGCTGGCCTGGGGATCGATAGATCATCAATAGGTGATCAATATGTATCGATAGTTAGGTTTTGGTCATCATTATTGGGGTAGGAATGTGAATATATGGGTATATGTGTGTGTATATATATATATATATATATATGTGTGTATATATAAATATCAGCAGGAACAGCGCCGTGCACAGCTGGCCTGGGGATCAATAAATCACCGATAGATCATCAATAGGTGATCAATATGTATCAACAGGTGGGTATCGGGTATCGTTATGGGGTTAGGAATGAGCATATATACATATTTATTGTATATATATATATGTATAAATGTGTGTATAAATAAATATCAGCAGGAACAGCGCCGTGCACAGCTGGCCTGCGGATTGATAAATCATCAATAGGTGATCAATAGGTATCGATAGTTGGGTATCGGGTATCGTTTTTAGGTTAGAAGTATGGATATGTACGTATTTATTGTATATATGTATATAAAAATGTATATATGTATAAATATCAGCAGGAACAGCTGGCCTGGGCACCGATCAATTATCAATAATTATCGATAATTAGCTATTGGCTATCGTTATTGGGTTAGAAATATGAATAAATAAATATATTACTATAGTACGTGTTTTATTTATGGACATATATATAAATGTAAAATATACCTTTGGGATTTTATCCCCCAGATTCTGGGAATTTATTCCACAAATTCTGGGATTTTATTCCCCAAATTCTGGGCTTTTATTTCCCAAATTCTGGGATTTTATTCCCCAAATTCTGGGATTTTATTCCCCAAATTCTGGGATTTTTCCCTCTAATTCTGGGAGTTTCTTCCCCAAATTTTGGGATTTTATTCCCCAGCTTTGGGATTTTATTCCACAAAATCTGGGAATTTATTCCCCAAATTCAGGGGTTTTTCCCCCCAAAATTCTGGGAGTTTCTTCCCCAAATTCTGGGGTTTTATTCCCCAAATACTTGGGGTTTTTCCCCCAAATTCTGGGGTTTTAATTCCCCAAAGTCTGGAATTTCCCCCCCCCCCAAATTCTTGGGATTCCCCCCCTGCAAATTCTGGGATTTTATTCCCCAAATTCTGGCATTTTGTTCCCCCCAAATTCTGGGGGGTTTTCCCCAAAATTCAAGGATTTCTTCCTTCTAATTCTGGGATTTTCCCCCTCTAATTCTGGGATTTTATTCCCCAAATTCTGGGATTTTTCCCCCCAAATTGACAGATTTTTCTCCTACAATTCTGGGATTTTATTCCCCAAATTCTGGGATTTTTCCCCCCAAATTGACAGATTTTTCTCCTACAATTCTGGGATTTTATTCCCCAAATTCCGTGTCTTTTTCCTTCTAATTCCAGGATTTTCTTCCCCAAAATCTGGGAATTCATTCCCCAAATTCAGGGGCTTTTCCCACCAAAATTCTGGGAGTTTCTTCCCCAAATTCTGGGGTTTTATTCCCCAAATACTTGGGGTTTTTCCCCCAAATTCTGGGGTTTTAATTCCCCAAAGTCTGGAATTTCCCCCCCCCCCAAATTCTTGGGATTCCCCCCCTGCAAATTCTGGGATTTTATTCCCCAAATTCTGGGATTTTATTCCCCAAATTCTGGGATTTTATCCCCCAAATTCTGGGATTTTATTCCCAAATTCTGGGATTTTATTCCCCAAATTCTGGGATTTTATCCCCCAAATTCTGGGATTTTATTCCCCAAATTCTGGGATTTTATCCCCCAAATTCTGGGATTTTATTCCCCAAATTCTGGGATTTTATCCCCCAAATTCTGGGATTTTATTCCCAAATTCTGGGATTTTATTCCCCAAATTCTGGGATTTTATTCCCCAAATTCTGGGATTTTATCCCCCAAATTCTGGGATTTTATTCCTGAAAGGAGGGGGGGAGGGGGTGAAAGGGGAGGGGGCGTGGCCTAGGGGCGTGGCCAGGCGGAGAGGGGAGGGGCTTGAGAGCAGAGACTAGAAAGGGGCGGGGCTTATGGCAACACGTAGGAAGGGGGCGGAGCTTGTTGGACGGCCTGTGGAAGTGGGCGGTGCTTCATCATTCACGCGTGAGAATGGGCGTGGTTTGTGTGAAAGGGGCGGGGCTTGTGCAAAGTCACTGGGGGGATACTGGGATGAACTGGGGTCCCACCTTCAATGGTGTCCCCATGTCCCCGTGTTCCATCTCCGGTGCTTTAACCAAATAAACCCCAAAATCTCGGGGTTTTTCCCCAAAAAATCCGGCGTTTTTTTCCCTAAAAATCCGAGTTTTTTTCCCAAACCTTGTTGGTTTTCCCCCCAAATGGAATATTCACCATGAAATTAGGGGTGTCCCCCACAAAAAACGGGGTGCACCGGTAAAAGGCACCAGCGGGATTCGAACCCGTGATCTCCCAGGTACTTTAACCAAATAAATCCCCCAAATCCGGGTTTTTTCCCTAAAAATCCGGATTTTTTCTCCAAAATTCATTGTTTTTTCCCCAAGTGGAATATCCACCATGAAATTAGGGGTGTCCCCCCCAAAAAAGGGGGTGCCCCGCTAAAAGGCACCAGCGGGATTCGAACCCGCGATCTCCCGTTCACTTTAATCAGGGATTTTAATCAAATAAATCCCTAAAAATCGGCTTTTTCACCCAAAATTGGGGGGTTTTTTCCCAAGTTAGTAGTTTTTCCCTTAAACGGAGTGTTTCTGATTAAACTGGGGGTGTCCCCCCCAAAAAAGGGGGTGCCCCAGAAAAAGGCGCCCCCGGGATTCGAACCCGCGATCTCCCGTTCACTTTAATCAGGGATTTTAACCAAATAAACCCCTAAAAATTGCGGGGTTTTGCCCCGAAATCCACGTTTTTTTTACCAAAATTCGTTGTTTTTCCCCCAAATGGAATATCCACCATGAAATTGAGGGCGTCCCCCCAAAAAAGGGGGTGCCCCGGTAAAAGGCGCCGCCCGGATTCGAACCCGCGATCTCCCATTCACTTTAGTCAGGTATTTTAACCAAATAAACCCCTAGAAATTGCGGGTTTTTGCCCCGAAATCCGCGGGTTTCTTCCCAAAATTCGTTGTTTTTCCCCCCAAAGGGAGCGTCCCCCTTTAAACTGGGGGCGTCCCCCCCCAAAAAAAGGGGGTGCCGCGGTAAAAGGCACCGCTGGGATTCGAACCCAGGATCTCCTGTTTACTAGACAGGCGCTTTAACCAACTAAGCCACGGCGCCGCCTGCCCCGCTCGCGCCGCCGGCTCCTTCCCGCGCCTGCAGCGCGCATGCGCGGGGGGCGACAGCGCGCCGGGGGAATTTTCGGGGGGATTTTTTTGGGGTTTTGGGGTGGGATTTTGGGGGATTTTTGGGCATTTTTGGGGATAGAATGGGGAGAAATGAGGTGGGGGAATGGGGGAGGGGTTTAGGGGAGGGGCTTGAGAGCAGAGACTAGAAAGGGGCGGGGCTTATGGCAACACGTAGGAAGGGGGCGGAGCTTGTTGGACGGCCTGTGGAAGTGGGCGGTGCTTCATCATTCACGCGTGAGAATGGGCGTGGTTTGTGTGAAAGGGGCGGGGCTTGTGCAAAGTCACTGGGGGGATACTGGGATGAACTGGGGTCCCACCTTCAATGGTGTCCCCATGTCCCCGTGTTCCATCTCCGGTGCTTTAACCAAATAAACCCCAAAATCTCGGGGTTTTTCCCCAAAAAATCCGGCGTTTTTTTCCCTAAAAATCCGAGTTTTTTTCCCAAACCTTGTTGGTTTTCCCCCCAAATGGAATATTCACCATGAAATTAGGGGTGTCCCCCACAAAAAACGGGGTGCACCGGTAAAAGGCACCAGCGGGATTCGAACCCGTGATCTCCCAGGTACTTTAACCAAATAAATCCCCCAAATCCGGGTTTTTTCCCTAAAAATCCGGATTTTTTCTCCAAAATTCATTGTTTTTTCCCCAAGTGGAATATCCACCATGAAATTAGGGGTGTCCCCCCCAAAAAAGGGGGTGCCCCGCTAAAAGGCACCAGCGGGATTCGAACCCGTGATCTCCCAGGTACTTTAACCAAATAAATCCCCCAAATCCGGGTTTTTTCCCTAAAAATCCGGATTTTTTCTCCAAAATTCATTGTTTTTTCCCCAAGTGGAATATCCACCATGAAATTAGGGGTGTCCCCCCCAAAAAAGGGGGTGCCCCAGAAAAAGGCGCCCCCGGGATTCGAACCCGCGATCTCCCGTTCACTTTAATCAGGGATTTTAATCAAATAAATCCCTAAAAATCGGCTTTTTCACCCAAAATTGGGGGGTTTTTTCCCAAGTTAGTAGTTTTTCCCTTAAACGGAGTGTTTCTGATTAAATTGGGGGTGTCCCCCCCAAAAAAGGGTGTACCCCAGTAAAAGGCGCCGCCGGGATTCGAACCTGCGATCTCCCGTTCACTTTAATCAGGGATTTTAACCAAATAAACCTCTAAAAATTGCGGGGTTTTGCCCCGAAATCCACGGTTTTTTACCAAAATTCGTTGTTTTTCCCCCAAATGGAATATCCACCATGAAATTGAGGGCGTCCCCCCAAAAATGGGGGTGCCCCAGTAAAAGGCATCAGCGGGATTCGAACCCGCGATCTCCCATTCACTTTAGTCAGGTATTTTAACCAAATAAACCCCTAGAAATTGCGGGGTTTTTGCCCCGAAATCCGCGGGTTTTTTCCCAAAATTCGTTGTTTTTCCCCCAAAGGGAGTG